TTTTCAGCAGGCATTATTGAAAATGCTTGAAGGAACTGTAAGTAAAGGATCCAGAATGCATTTGTTGCTAACTGATTTATAGAATTATCGTATCTTATTTACACTGCAACTGTAACCTTAAAATTTGACAAGCAATTTGTTCAAGTAGGTTTACATCTTGAGCTTCTATTCCATTATATGTACAAGGGTATTTAACTGGTGATTGACTGGTAGCAAACAGTATTGGATGCATTAATGGTAATTTTAATTAGATTTAGAAAGAACAATATATTATTTTCCATGGTGAGATCTTATTTTTTCAGTGAGACGAAAATTGAAACATGAGGCATGATTTGAATTTATGCACTGGTGTTGGTTATAAGGTTTAGTAAGAGCAAACATTGATTATTTGTGCGGAATGTTTTGAAGAGAGGAGCTAAATTGATTAGTACCATTCTTACAGTATCCTAAACTTGGAATGATTTCTTATTCTCTAGATTGTAAATGTCCCTGAGAAAGGAGCTAGGAAGCATCCACGGGGGGATAACATTCAGGTATGTTGTTTGGAAGAATAACATCTTTTGCCATTCCTTTTCATTTTATTCATTTGTGTAGTAGCATGTGATTAGACAAATTTTCTTGCCTTGTTTTTGTTTTCTCTTGTCTTGAATCTTGAAATATTTGTTTATATTTTAGAAAAACATTTCTATCATCACAAATCTTATGATTATTGTATCTTTCTAATTGGAAAAAGAATGAAAAAATGATAATGGTACAATTACCTCATTGGTTGGTGAACAATAATCCACACCCTGTCAATGTGGGCCAGCTTGGCTAGTACAGTTTGCATATAACTACACTTGTACATTTTTTCAATAATCTTCCATTCATTTTTTATCTTATGTAGATCGACACAAAAAATATTCTTTTTATATGTGGTGGAGCATTTATTGATCTTGAAAAAACCATTTCAGAGAGGTAAATGTTTTGGCCTTTGTCTTGCAAAATTTTTTGTTCACAAATCATAGATTCTTTACATATGTCTCAGTTTCTGCCAGAGCAGTCACTAACTTATTTATCAAATAAATCAGACGACAAGATTCTTCTATTGGTTTTGGAGCACCAGTTCGTTCCAATATGAGAAATGGTGGAATAACAGATTCTGCAGTAACATCCTCTTTACTGGAATCAGTGAGTATTGGCTCTTATTATCTGAAATATTAATCTCCTTCCTTATAATTGTAAGACTAGATAGATAGATGGATACTGTAAGCAATTGCATCTTGTAAATAATGCATTTAAGCTACCATGGTGTTGTGTTTTTTTTTCAAATCTTCCAACACCAGATAGACACAGACACAGTAGTGAGATAATGAATTGTTGTAGCTGGCAACCATCATAATGAATCTAAAATGTTGCATTTAATATTTTTCAGGTAGAAAGTGCTGATCTTATTGCATATGGCCTCATACCAGAGTTTATTGGACGATTCCCCATCTTAGTCAGCTTGTCAGCTTTAACTGAAGATCAACTTATGATGGTATTCCTACATAGTTTATATTGTCTTCAATCATATCATATCTTATCCTTATTTCTCTAAACATTTTGGTGCTCCAACAACTGATTCTGGTTGCCTTTTGCTGCCAATGATGATTTTGTTCTGTCATTTCTAATGCTTTCTACATTTAAAGACTAGAGTCCATATGGGTTTTTAGCCACCTCGAAGCTTTAAATCTTTATTGTTCTCGTATCAAATCAAGGTTTTGTTATATATTTATCATTTTTATATTTTAAATAATAAACTTCAATATTTTTATAAAGATAATAAACTTGGTAAAAAGAAAAATAGTCACATTTGGTCTGTGCAAGTGCATGGTTTGTATTTAATAGTATAGAAAGCATCAGAATAAATGAATTGGATTTTTTATTGTTCTTTTGACTAGAATATGAACCTATAACATGATATAAAGTGTAAAAGGAAAAGTTAACATATAATTTTTTCTCACACACACACACATATATAAAAATCTTAAAAATTTACGTAAAATAGTTTTAATTTGTAATTGTAATGAAAACCGGAAGTTCCTTAAAAGATGGGTAGTTGTAAATGATGGTTCTCTGTTCATATTGACACTTTGGTGTCCTCTCTTTCCGGTTACAGTAGACAATAAACATTGGCACATTTTTTAAAGAGAGGAATCACGTTTCTATTAATATACATTACTTCATATGTAAAAAAGGAGTTTGAGTTATTTTTTTCCCCAGTGGACCCATAATTTTTTTGCCATCAATTCCTTTTAGCAGCAACTTGATATCATCTAAAAATTTTCCCATCTGAAAAGAGTATATGTTGGTTTAGATTTTTAGACTTGCTGTCATGTGGAATACTTAATTTTGGCTGCTTTAGGAAGAGTTATAGTTGTTAAATTTCATCTTAAAACCAATTGATATTAAGCGAAGTTGTCCAATATATGCCTATCAAACAGGTGAACCTACCATAATAGGCAATTTATCAAGATGAACTATAAACTCTAATACCATGTTAGATTCCATCTTAAAATTAATTGACATTAAGTGATTTTTTTTAAGAAAATAGTTAATTATTTTATTTGTTGACATAAGATCTATAGTTATTTTTATTGAATTTTATTCATTTATTTTGTTCAATTTATCATTTATATTATAAAATTTTTATTAATTATAAAGGTAAAATCTATAACATTTTTTATCGATTATTATGGTATTAATTATTTTGATATATATATATAT